CGCTCGACCGTCGCGCGAGTTGTTGCTTATCGTAACATCCAGCAGCGCTCGGACTGCAATCACGCACGGCCGCAGTACGCATGATCGTAAAAAAAAAACGGGCACAGACCTCGCATGTGGGTCGCCGTCACTGTAACGCGTCATGTGCGTGAAAACGCGTGGGCAGTCCTAAAGGCAGGAGCGTGCATGTAGGCGTTGACTAGGCTTCAATATCGATCGTCCCCACGGTGAATGCCGAGTACGGCGCCGTGGGCTTTGAAGTTTCTTGCCGGTAAGATTGGCTAGGGGAGATGACAGCCACAGATAGAAGTCTGAATGGACGGGCTCACGACTAGCAGGTGGTCCTCTTAACATGCTCCAGAAAGTCCCTACTCCATTTACGGCGTTGGCCGTATTGGGTGTGCCAGTGTTGAAAAATTCGGCTCTCGGACGGACGGTTACTCAATATTATTGCCTTTTTATTTCTTCCCGCTCACGAGATTGTTACGAAGGAGTGCGTCGTGGAGACTTTACCGAATGTTTGGGGTAGTTTCGGAAAATGCCCGACGATTAAGAGGCTTGCTGGGCAAAGTCGTTGTAGTGTACACGTCCTATGGCAGCGAACGGACAAGGCGCCGAGGTAAGCAGTTCGTGTCGGCAAAGAGTTTGCCTGACGCATTCGTTTTATGTGACGCGACAAGTCCTACAGTGGTAATTGCCATTGTTCCGGACTATGTAAACGGGCAGTCTCCAGCCCTTGATTCGTAAGCTGACGACGCGTGCGCTGGTTCAGTCAGGAAAGCCCTGTGATTACTCTAAACCCTTTCCGGTTGTGCACGACTTCCCATGCTAGTGTTACAGCCATTCCGGGTAGCCGATTAGGTCATTGGTTGATCGGAATGAGTGTCAACTTCCTCCGTCGATGTAAGTTAAGCGTCATATTCCGTGGAATGTCATAAATACGCTTCACTTGCATAGGCAACCGTCATCAGTTAGTGGTCGCGACGGCCTCTCCATGCTAATGACTTCCTCTCGGAATGCATCCGGCCCTGGTATTGTTCCCTTTGTTGACATCACCGTACATGATGTTGGCGACGCCCACTGCATCGGCACATCCTAGACTGACGGGTATTGATCACGTGCTGCAGGCATCACCAACATCGCCACCGGACTTTATCAGATGCAGTCTACCAGCGACAGCAGTCACCGGAACGAACATTCGTGCACACTCAACTACTCATTTATCTGTAGCTATTCCTTCGCATCTGTAACACAGTGGGTCGTACAATAAACTCTTAAGGGCACAGTGGGGCGATAGTTAACCAGAGCACGGGTTTCTGTTCTAGTGGTCACAAAGAGTCCTCTACTATCGCCGCTGATTACGCTGACGGACTTCCATGCGTCCCTACTCGCATTAAACGGGAAGGTCTTTCCGAGGCGATTCAATGTGACTGACCGTTTTCAGAAACGAGAATTTGTAGTAACCAGAGGCCTACGCCACCTACGAAGGTATACTTAACAAGAAGAGAACCATTTCACTCCAATCTATAAGTGTCTGCCGCCGGAACGCCAGGCGACGACTCATTTGGAATGACTTCACGATTGCAGTTAGGAGTATTTAGAAGGCAATTTGGCGGGCATACGTCTGATATCGATAAATTCTCTTCATGCCTGTACATTTATATGGCTATTGAAGTACTGAATTAAAAGATACAGGAGTTTCGTACCGCTAAACGTTAGACGTATTTTGGTCTGCTGTTTGACAGAAAGAATGGGAAGAATCTGCTCAGCTGATAGCGTTGAAAAGAGCTTAAAATCATCGAAAGCCTTTTTCGCCAGAACGGGTATCCAGATCAATTCCTTGCTAAGAACATGGCCGAAAGACCACAAAAGGCCCCGATACTGACGGCAGGAATGAAAAGGCTCTTTATCAGGGTCCCAATTTAAGGGGATGCACCAAGTGAACTTTTAAGAAGACACCTAACCTTTCTAGCAGCTGACACCCGTGCACTGTTCTCCACCAGTCCCATCCTATACGAAGAGGACAAGGATAAACTACCAGCTCAGGCCACCTCTATGTGTATTTACTCCTTCACCTGCTCCTGTGAGGCAGAACATATTGGTCGCACGAGCCGGCGTTTATCCAAAAGAATAAAAGAACATCTTCCAGCATTGAGAGCGGTTGGGGGCTGGGTTGAGGTTACATATACGTTTTTGGGGAGTTTGTGTTTGCATTACAAGAACTCGGGACCGGACATGTTCCACAATGTCGCCGGTATTAAGTGCTACTTTCTAGCTGTCACTGTGTTACGTCCACGTTAGCGCTGCTCTACGTTACCCGCAGACGTATGCTGACACCGTGCTAGGATATCGCTTTCAGGCATGCCCGTCATAGTAAAGAGTGTTGTCTGAAGCCTGTCGGCCTGATCTGAGGACCGCTTTGTTGTTGCCCGTCGTACGCACCAGGGCAAGGATCCCCGTGCTTAAGTTTACCACCTCGCAGAGTACGTTGTGAACAAAAGAGATGTATAGCCCGTTTTTGAAACACCATCTGGCTGAGGCCACCAAAAAAAGCAATAAGGAGGCTTTTGGGAGAATCAACAACCAAGCGGACAGTTAGACGCTGATTCCAGGAATCCCGGACAGTAGCCTTGAAAGTGGGCCTTGATTAGACGCGAAAACTGCTGGAAAACAATTAAGGAAGGTCGTCAAAGTGAACTTTCCGGACACCTGTTTGGCCCCTTGCAATAAACATGGGAATTTCCGCTACAGTTGGTTCTTGACATTTGGCAAACGACGAGAAAAAAGGAAGAAAAACTGTACAGGTGTGCGCCATGAAATAGGGGGAACAAAACCACTCGCTTCTTCTCAGCACCGCCGATTCCCCAATTATGAAGGACAGAAAAGTATTTTTAAAACGCATAAGCAATTGCTACGAACAATGGATCCAATATAATACTTGGAAAAAATCAGAACGGCAGTCAAGCGCTGATAACGCTCTCTCAAGCATGTCCCAAAAGTTTATGATGACCGAGCAGTGGTTTACTGAAAGAATTATTCATCAACGTTCTCTCTCATAATGCATGCAGAATCGGTCTTAGATCAACAAAAAACTCACAAAGAAACAAGGGCCGATTTGATTGTACAAAAACGATAGAAAACATATCTCGCAACACATGGCTGGAAAGTTTCCGGAATTAGGATAAAGGATACTAACGGAGCCTCCGAAAGTCACGACGTCCGGCAACAACACATTTGACGTGAAGGACCTTTCCCATTAAAAGGCCAATAGGTATCGAAGTTGGTAAATGTGCTTGCAACTAAATGAACTCGGTATTATTCATGGAGAGTGGATAACCTAAGAAGACGCTTATTAGCCAATCAGAATAGGAAACTGAAGGAGACTGCTGGGAGGAGGAGGCAGCGCTTTTAACTACTCAGAACGACATATGTGAACAATGTAATGACATTTGCATGGGTTGCACGATATACCAAACTTGACAGCACAGGTACCAGTTAAAAGCCCAGACACACGTGTCTCGCCGGTATCCTGCCGCTGCATGGCACAGCTGCCAGTGGGTTCTCCAGCATTCCGCGTGTGCTTTCTGGTAGATACTCCAGTTTTGAAATTGAATCATCCACTTATGGGCTCAGACTGAAAATTTGGTATTAATATTTGGGCCAAAGTCCATCACCTATCAAATATGGTATATCGTACAACCTGCGCAATATACTACTACTGTGAATGTAGTGACGTTTGTCAGATAGAATAAGCTGCTATCGACGCAGAGATACTGTGAAAACCGGGAAAATAACGAGGCGATAGCGTTCAAGTCGCACCGAAATGCCCTATTTGTCGGTCCACACGCCTCCCACTTGTTTGTTACAATTATCGGGGCTTAGCGAGGGGGCGGGAGAAAGGGGTGAGACCTTAAACGAGGTCAGACCGAATAAGGCAACTTTGGTGGGAAAATGGCGGGGCCTAGTCAGGCTTAGCCCCAAAAGTGGTTTTTCAGCGGCAAAAGTTGGAGGTTGTAAAGGTCAGCGCCTAAAAATCGTACTTATTGTTCACCTACTGAAACAACTACTTCGCTTGAAATACCCTAACATCAGCTGAACGATGTTGCCACGGAGACTTCCTTGCAGCCCCTTCACAGGGGGACTTGCATCCTCATTAAAATGCTTTTCTACGGAGAGTGTACAGCATTGTAATATCTTACGTCCACCTCATGTTGACTGTTTTCCGGCATACTTCAGCTGCTCACATTCACACCCAGGACCTAGAGGGGCTAGTTAGCAGAAAAACGAAAACGCTGACTTGATGCTGCCTCATGCACAAAGCCCATGAAACGTGGGGGAGGAGGCTTTGCCGATTAGGTCTCTAGCACTCAAATACATTGGCTTTGACGCCTCCTCTTATTCATAGATTTGTATCGAAAGCGGAATACGCAGTACATTACCTAGACAAATTAAGACAATGGAGGGTTAACCATTTGACCGGTAGAATGCTTGACACTAGCAAACAAAGGTTTTACCCGCCTGTAAACACCCCGTCATAAGGGCTCTTTTTACATAACAAAAAACTGAGAAGCTCGCGTTGAGGTAACAGGTAGGGGGGGAGGGGGGGGAGCGTTGGAGCACTGCTCGCAATCCACCACTTCTGCGTCCACCGGGCGGAGGGGAGGGGGGAGGATGGGTGCGAAGTGTGCTGACCACGTATATGAGACAGAGGGGAGGGGAGGGGGCGGACCAAGGAAACTGGGTAAAACAGGACCGTAAAAATTAGGCAGGCTGAGACAACTTCCTGCCTGCCGCCTGGTGGTGGCGGCGGCGGTGTCTCACCGTCCAAACTAATCAGGAGCGCGTGCGACTGTTAAATTATGAGTTAGAAGGCTAGGGAAGAGCTTGATGGGAAGAGCTGGCCGTGGGAAAGATAACAGGCGACTCCCACAGCAAGTGAGACAGGGCGCGAGTAAAGTGAAGCAAAGCCACCTTAAAACAGGCAGTGCAAGCTAAATAAGTTATCTGAGCCAGGAAGCGGGTGGTAAATGCGTGGTTGGCTGAAAACCCATGTGTACACCATCTGTAAGAAAATAGGAAAAAGGGAATTTGGCAAGGCTATCGGCAAACTGCCTGCTAAGCGTCAGACGGCACAGCCGTAAAATGCCCTACCCGAGGAGACACGGGACATCCTAAAATGCTTACCCTCAGACACAATGGAGCCTGTACCTGATAAAGACCGTAACGAGTTACTGGTAGATTGGCTAAACAGAGTACGGCACTGAAGGAGGAGACACAATCGCTGGAACAACAACAGATACATCGTATATGTTGTAGTCTCTGGTGATAGGTTCGAGCAGGGATCCAAAACGTCAGGCAAATAAAGCTCTTGTTACAGCAATCGTGCCTCCTTCTTCACGACTGCTTCCTGGGACTCGTCCCTTCGCTTCTATTAGCAGAGTACAGTAAGCTGTTGGCGGGAGAGAAAGGGGTCGAAGGAAACATCTGCACGACCCTTACCAACAAAAACATGTGTCAATAAAAGTTACGGACTTCTTTCAAGTTTAATAAGCTGCAGCATTTTCCTCCATAATTGTTGACGCCTAATCGACAAAACTTAATTTCTTAACTCTATAAGGTTGGCCTGTGCGGAATACTTGAACGCGAGGGTCTATGCGGTGGGGTCGTGGATAACATCTAATCTTCTAGGTTCACTAACAGGTTCACAGCGTACTAGCCAGGCAGTCCTTTGCGAATGGCATCATCATATAAGCTTACCGAAAGGAATTTGGGCTGATCTGAAACTATCGTTAGAAAAAGGAAAAGTCCGAAGAAGGAGACACGATCGCTGGAACAAGAGCTTTATTAGCCTGACGTTTCGGATTCTCACTCGAATACATCATCAGAGACAGAGTCAGATAGGGGTAGTAAACGGCCCAGGATGTAGTTGCTAGGCCGCTACATGCCTGTCACAGTTGGCCGCTCCCGAGTACATCACGGCTCGACTGGCCAGGTGTTTAAGTGTGCAGTTGCTATGCCCCTGAGTGTCGGTCAAGATTATCGATTCCCACGCTCATCGCACGCAGTCGAGTTGCTGACGGCCGGATTTCGTCATCCGTGTGGGCTCTTGGGCAATTTGGCTCTTGTTCCACCGATCGTGTCTCCATCTTCGCGACATCTTCCTGGAACTGGCTTCTATTAGCAACTTAAAAGTCCGTTAAAACGACTTTTGTCGCCGCATCCAACAACGCCAGCTCGGCAGAAGCGAAACAACTGCGAGCAGCCTGACTCTCACCGCAGGCATAGGCAGCATCTGGAATCTTTAGCTTCTCCCTCTACCAGAGTCGAAGTTGGGGATATACTGGGAGCTCAGATGCCAGTACGCAAACCAAGTTGGTGTTGTGTACTAATGACTGATGACGAACACGCACGCTAGCAATATGTAACCCGCAGAAATAGAAGCAATGAAGAAATTAAAAGTGGACAAAGATATTATAGTGCTACCGGCCGAAGAAGGAAGAGCAACGGTTGTGATGAACCGCGTTGATTACAACGAGAAGGCACAAGCTCTCCTGGACGACCAACAGTCCTACAAGTCCGCACCCGCCTCGCAGGCTAAATCGATGAATGGCCAGCTGACTGGAGTCTTAAGTCGACTCCGGAGCAACAATGTAATCTCGCTTGAAAAATTGGCGCCAGAAAAAAACCAACCGACACAGCATTGACCAGGTTCTATCGACTACCAAAAATCCACAAACCCAACGTTCCTCTGCGGCCAATCGTTGCCCTGAAAGACAGCCCCACATACAATTTAGCCAAATGGATGTCCCGAAAGCTCAATTTTCTCCGAGAGGGCTGTGTGACGTCCGTCAATTCGGCCCGACCAAATCATGGTATCCTTCGACGTCCATCCCACCAGACATGGCGCGCGACGGGCTACGCAAACGCCTCGAAGAAAAGTACGACGAAACGATGCGGTCCTTAAAGATCCAGCACCTAATGCAGCTCTTTGCGTTCTGCCAACGAACTTTTTTCACCTTTGATGGCAGAACATGAGAACAAATCAAAGGAACGCCCATGGGTTCCCCAATATCCAGCCTTGTTGCGGAATTGGCCCTACAAGAGCTGGAAAAGGTTGCTTTCAGCCACTAAAAACCTGCGTTTTGGCGCCGATACGTGGACGATACATTGGTCATTATTGAAAAGGACAGGCTATCGGGTTTTCAAGACTTGCTTAACAGCATCTTCCTTAACGGCGTCTTCCAAGAGAAGACGAGGAGGCCGAGAAACTACCCTTCCTTGACGTGCTCGTCACGCGCACACCTGATGGTAAACTCTACAGTGTACAGAAAGGCGACCAATACAGCCCAGGTCCTCAACTATCATAGCAACCACCCATTGGTGCACAAATGAGGCTATGTTAGGACGCTTTTCGACCGAGTAAAAACGCACTGTAGCGAGCCCGAAGGAAGGATGCAAGAACTACGGCATCTCAGGGGCCAATTAACAAAGAACGGACACCCAAATAGTTTCATCAACCGCTGCATACGCACGCACCCACGACGGACAAACGGAAGAGAGACTCCAACAATTTGGCACTCTCTACCGTACATAAAGAATGTGTCCGAGGCTACAGAACGGACTGCGTCAGAGTTAGGCGTGGGCATCGCCCATCATCCGGCGGCTACCATGCGTATCAGGGCCATGAAAATGTAGGATCGGCTGGACGCAGGTGAGCAGTCGGGCGTAGTCTATCAAATTCCCTGCCATAACTGTCCTTGCCACTACACAGGTCAAACAGGACGTCTCAGCTCACGAATACTTGAGCACAAACGGGCCGTTCGGAGAGGCGAACCACTATCTCAAGTCGCCACTCACATGCTGGAGGAAGGCCATGAGTACGACTTCGCCAACACGCCAATATTGGCGCAAGCCGGCAACAAGAGGGGGCGAGAACTGTTGGAGGCGTGGGTGTCGGACACCAACTCTATCAGTAGACGCATTGATTTGCCTGCGTGTTATCATGCCCTCCGCCCACGCAGCCGGGTGGCGCAGCTCACATCGCCGCGAAGTACAAACGGCGTCACCACGCCGGGGGACCATTGTGGGCCAGGCAGCACAAATCAGACCTAGCCACGGACGTATTCCCCCCCGCACGGAACAACGGTTTAAATGTTCACACGTTGTTGTACCCTAGCAGTCTCTGATGAACTCCAGTTCCATTTCGAAAGCTAAGGCCAATAAATTTACCGTCCCAGTGATCGCACCTTCGTCTTCTTTTACACAATAGCCTGGAATGCGCATATTCTCTTCCATTCGTGAGTTTAGAAAGTGTGCGAATGAGTTGGCGGAAGGGGCAGTGGGCGGACGCTGAGCAAGCGCATTGCTGGAGGCTGTTTGTCAGCACTGTTTGAGAAGAAACAGTTGACGGTAACAGGCACTGTTGACAGAAATAGTAGTGAAAATGCGATTCTCAGGTGGCACTTCAAAAGAAGACGAGGTGTTCGCCGAAAGGGGTTTATTAGAGGCCTGACATTTCGAGTAGTTGCTTCGTCTACCCATCTTCAGAGACTGGGAAGTCGTGCGCACAGCGCTCCTTATATGGCGCACTTTGATGTGTGGTCCGCCAATGCCGCCTGTGTGGCTGCATCCGATCCGCATGTCACCGTGACCTCAATAGTCCCCGCCCTCGTCGGCCGCGAAGATAGTTGACGGGCTCGATTGTCCAGTGGCGTGACTGTCCCCCGTCAAGAAGGCTCGTAAATCCACATAGGGGGAGGTAAATTGATGTGACGATTGACAGAGCAGTCGGTGGACATCCAGGCTTCTTGCACCTGCCTTATTGTATGATCATCGTCCCGGCTCACAATCTCAACGGCGTCAAAGTTGAAGATGTGTCTCATTTGCGCGGCATGGGTTGCTACCTCCGACTTTGGATCCAACCTTCGCACGGCCTACTTATGTTCGTGAATTCGCGTTTGCCGCCGTCGGCCGGTTTCCCCAACGTAGTTGCACTTCCCGCAGCTGCACTGGAGTCGGCAGACGACAACCGACATCTCCTGTTTAGGGGTAGGGTCTTTTCGTCGCATCACTTTCCGGCGGATTGTTGAGTCGGGCCTGTGGGCAACGCCTATTCCGAGCGGCGCGAGGGATCTAGCCACGGCTTCAGAGACTCCTTTGGTGTACAGAATGCTCCGTCACGATTTTGGCTGACTAGGCCCTTAATTCCGCTTCTTTGGTTGCCTCCGGCTCCGTTCAACGAATGCTCGCGGATAGCCGTTGACTCCGAACAGTTCTTTGAAAAGCTTCATCTCGTCCAGTTTGGCAGCTGGCGTACTGCAATGATTTCCCACACGTAGGTATATCGTGCGTACACAGCTTCGTTTGTGTTGCAGTGGATGGTTGCTGTTGTTGACAGTCTCAAACCAATGATGGTCAAGGAGAGGCAAGGTTAAAATTCTCCTTACTACCATAAAATGGCCACGCGCTAACCTCCCTCCGTCAAATTAAATCGAAACACTCAGCGTTGCACTGAGTGATCAAGGCCAACACTTAAATAAATGCTTTTAGCGACTCCTTCCCCGGCAGTCAAAGGGGTTCAAGACGCATGAGCGGGGGAAAGTAACAGGTGAATGAAAGAGGGACAGAAGAACTAGGAAACCCAATTTCGGAGGAGGCTGATCGACCATTTCATCGGGATGAACGCATCTGTCCTCATGTAGTCATTTCGATACCTAAGAGGCATCAATTAATAGTTAATAAGAACCGGTACTAATTCGATGCTCACTTTCCAAAGTCTGTTATTACGGCATCTTCGTACGCTGGCATGTGACCCTCCGTTCGCACAAAGGAGAGCGCGCTTCAGTAATTCAAATGACACTGTTGGGGTGAAGATGACGGTGTAGCACACTCCTAATTTTGAGGGTAATTTGACAGGGATGATGTATCGACAGGGGTAGCAGACCCGTCTTCGACTACGCTGATACCTGCTGGTCCTAATGTTATAAGTGGTCGATCTAAAAATTGTATTCGTGTGTCTAGCTGGACTCCTTGATAATTCACAGGCGATTAGACAAAGGCCTTGCTATTGTTTCATAGGGCCCCTCTCGTCCGTCCTGGATGGGAACCCCTCAAAAGGGCTGCAGTAAGACAACCCTACTGAGAGGGCGTACGAATGGCATCAACCACTACCCAGTTGAATCCGTGCCAATGCAAGAAATGTGTCGAGCACAATATTTTCTTCCGAAATTTGATGACTGGGCTCGGTTTCTGATATTTTGTCTTGAAGATCCCGCAAAGACACTTCAAGTTACAGCAAGCTTTCATCGGTAATTTGTACAGCTGTCGTTGCCAAGTAGGTATGTAGGCCTATTTGTCAAAAAGTCCAACCGACTGACTGAGAAAATCGACTACTCTCGCACGAATAAGTGGGTCCTTTGGAAGCAGTTAGCGCTTTACGGCCAAGGTCAATCAGAAGGGTTAATTATGTCACGCAAACGAAACACGGGCCAGCCTGTCGTAAAGTAGCCGGTTGCTCGAAATGGTGACGGGTTGAGAATTAAACGATAATGTTGTCTGGGGAGGAAGGGAAGTAGGGATTCAGTATCTACCCTGGTCCGTCGAATGCAAACGACCGAAAAGGCACGTAGTAAACGTGCTATCCGGCTCCAAGGCAGACTGCTGATCTGGCCATTTTCTGGGCTGGGCTTCTGTGCCACAGGGCAACAAGAAAAGTGGGATTACCGTATAAAACGTGAACGCTAAAGACCACAAGCTGTGACGCAAAATAAACATCGGGCAGAAGGAGGATGGTGGAAAGGGACAAGTGTGTTGGAACAACAGATGAATTTTCCTAGTCATTTCATGACATGGATGGCAAACGGGGGGTGAGAGGAAGCAAACAAATCATGGTTGGCATGACCACCGCATTCGCCATACTTTTGATTAGACAAGACGTAATTTCACACCTGCAGCTAACCTTTAACAGAGTGAACCCGAGATTCAACATGGCAGTCCTGAAAACATGTAAGGGACTTAACTGTTATTAAACTAACTTAAAAGCGCATCACGAAAATGGCAATAAAAAGTAACCAGGGATGGCAGTGCAATCGGTTCCATAAATACTTGCGTTTTCTTGTGTGATATGCAGGCGTTCACAACAAAAGTGTTATGTATCACCCGCGTGACTTGGATGACTGGCAACTGAGGGGGTAACTTGACCTTCATGGGATGACCAACTCGTGGACAGAGTCAGGCTCAGTGGTCCCTTCTTGATGTGGTCTCCATGGCACTCTTACGAACGTGAGATCTGGGCCACCAATTTCTGTAAAAAAAACTGCTACAGTTTGCGTGGTTGCGGTCGTGTGAAGCGTAATACGAATCACCGATCCCTCAAGCTCGCCTGGGGTTCCCTTGGTTCTGAGCTGCCCAGGCCAGACTCGCCTGCCATGGGGATTAATCAATATCAAACCTCCCCTAACTCGCTGGGCGAACCTATTGTAATCTAAACAAGTCATCCTCTGAAAGTGCAACGTAGGCGTCTTATGGGTTGACGAATGCTAACTGTAACCGTTAATAAGTCAGACACTAGTTGGAGTCGCTTATATACCTCCCCCTCCCTCCCCCAGCAGGACGCAAGAACATGAACCTAGGTGAAAAACAGCCCGCATCTTACACGGCTTCGGATTCCACCTTTTGTAATGTGACTCACTGATCTTTACAATCTACCTCTGCAGTCTGACTGAGGCGGTGAAGGTGCCGCTGTACCAGGCGAGGCAATTCGAGTATATACGTTTCCTGCAACGGACAGCATAGCGCGCATAAAATTACTAAGTGAATTCAACTCTCAGCTCTACTCAAAATAGCAAAAGTGGAAACTGGTAGTGTCGACTCGAAATTACAACGTACGGAGTCCACCAAAAGCCCCTACGAATAAATCTTTGCCAAGTCCGCCCGCGGAGTTGTCGTTTACGTGAGAAACTAGTGCGGCCACCCCAGAAGGGATGACAAGAGGGTCGCATAGTCGCGTGCGAATGCTGTAATTAATGTGCCCATCGAGTCTATCGTTGCGCTAGACAAGCGCCTTCGTCGCCTAAATTCCGGTGACAGTCTTGTAGAGATTGTAAAAGATATTGCCTAGTTCCACCTTCTATCACCCCGTATGCCAAAAACGGAAAAAATGCTTTGGACATTGAGGATAAATGTTCGTTAGTAAACTTACTTCGCACTCCTCAGTGCGCACCGGTTACAACACACTTGACTGCAACGCACTGCGGTATGAGCCGAAGTCCATGGAACATCGGCTGCAACTCTCTACAATTAGGCCACGTGCTAACCGCTCCGTTGACTGCCAGCATTAAGTCACACGGAAGTGGCGCTCGCCGACCTACCATGGTTGTAGGACGAAATAAAGGTGATTTCATTTTAGCTTGAAGATGCCATCCACAACTCTCACAGCGGTGGCATAGGGATTAGAATACAATAACTGACAGGGGGAGAATTGCGGCTCAATCATATTGTCGATTCAACGCTCAATTACAAAAGGGTTTCGATCCGAGCACAGGGACCTCCCAGCCTGAGGCTGAATTGCTGGCTAGCTGAAGATGAGAAATCCGAAATTGTAGTTTCAGCTTCCTATGCCTTGTCCGTAACAGTAAGCGATCGCTTACAAAAATTCCTGGTCGGAGAAAAACGGAATCGCCAGCACTGTGACTGCGGTCGCGAAATACCGATGACAATCACCTCCATTTGGTTTGATATTCCTGATAGCAGTCGACAGAATATCTATCCTGCGCCCAACAGTTAAGTTCTTGACGAACCCTTTAAATAGGCGCCTACATAAAAAACGTTCTTCAATTGAAGTTAGAAAGCTAATTAGCGCGGTGCAATCTCCAAAAACGAATCAATGTGGCCTTTCATGTCTTTATGTAGAGGTCACAAGACGCTCGCGAAATATTTTAAAAGATGCGGACTGTATCATGAGCAGCGCAAGTAAGAAAGCGCTCACATCGTTACGTGTATGCCCTACGAAGAATTAGTTAATAAGCCCAAGTTGCTGTTATCATCTGCGAAATGGGTTACCATTTTAATTTTGCAGTCGGTGATATAAGTGCAGGGCGTTGATCGAGGTCTGCGCCTATCATAAGAACTAGGTCAGCCAGTATACCGATTTCTTGCGCAAGCAGAACCGTGCGCAGTCAGCACAGGCAGTTGGTTCGTTCATGTGTTGCTACTAGCGCTGACAATGGACTGTCCTACGGGTTCGAGAGGACAGAAAAATAAACAAATAGTTCCCCTGCTGCATTGGCCACCCGTTTCCTTACTATGCAGTTTATTCTACGGGTGATGCCTTCGAAAGGCGGCAGTTGCCGTGTGGCAATACAATGTCTCGGAGGATATAAAAGTTCAGTAATCGTGTTGCTGATATTGTTTCAGTAGCACACTTTTATTGAATTGGCAGAGGGGCAGTCTGGAATCCCACTTAAACAGGTGGGCAGCACTGAGGAAAGAAAACCCCGAAGGGAGGTCGTTTCTAGCAGATTCATGGGGTGGTTACGGAAAAAAGATGGAGGATGTCAGTCGACGACCGTTCGACCATTGTGGACGATGAGGTCTAGCGTGTGTACCGCGGCAGGGTGGGCGCGCAAGGACGGCGACTTGCGCGCGAATTGGTTTATAGTGTTAGACTTGTATTGCATTTGCCGCACTCTCTCTCTCTCTCTCTCTCTCTCTCTCTCTCTTCAAAAACCTATGTCCGGTTACGAGGCTGGGGGTGAAATCGGACACAGTGCCTGACAAAGCTGTGTGTGTCACACGCCTGGTCCGCGCACGGTGGGCCAGGTCTCCACGGAAAGAGGATAGGGAGGTGGTTCGGATACCAACTGAGTGTCAGTGCCATAGAGGCCACACTAGTAAGGAGCCGCTGTATCCTGACTCTCTGTCTTGAGAGAACTGAGCTAGCCCGTCAGTTGACAGTCTTTTGAGCCACGGTTTTTCGCGCGGTATGATAGGCTAAAAGTGCGTCGGGTTTCTTTTAGTGAGGAAATGTGCTGGAGTGCCTTGGGTAGTCCCCAGGGTCGACCTTACTCTTTTTTCTCTCTTCCAGACACCAGTCCACTGTTCGGATCGATCAACTACCTGATACAGGATTGGACGCAAATGACTGGCGCGGCGTTGGTCTGCGCCTAGGCGCGCCACCACATCTCATGAGTGGCATTGTTATGGGTGCGCGGCCCGACTAACGTGTGCCGTGCCCTCAACTAACCCCCGCGCTGGTCCAGCGCGTCTCCCCCGTGGCCAGTTGTAGGGGCCGGAGATACCATCCAGGCATGTGATCAAAAAGGAGTCCTTTTCTAAGTACATGCATGGCCCTGTAAATAGTCCGAAACAGAAACAGCCACTGCTGACAACAAAGGAGTTAGAAATGACTACTGCAGCTTCCTTCGTCTTTGCCAGTGCTTCGCCAATGGCCAAAATCACTTCCTTGCATCTAGCCGCTGACATTTGTAAGACACATGTCTGTGACCGGACTGCAGGAAAGTTTAATACGCGGCCGAGAGACAGCGGCAGAAGTTGTTGTGGTCATTCCCTTGTAAGCTCGCCTCCCACTGCTCCCAAGACCTATTTCGTTGGCACATTATGCCCGGTAGTACTTGGAAATTTCATTCACGAACAAAACTTCAAAAAATAGGAAGCGGATTGAACGACAAGGGAAGCAACCCAATATTAGAGGTAACCATGATATAATACAATGTCAAGCTTGCCTCCATAACCGGCTTGTCACAGATGTCCTTCCAGTTCTCTATTGTCAAACGTAGGGGTTCCTGGACGCACATAACACGTGGAGCGTGTTTGTTGAGGTGATCCCGGACGCAGGCTTCAAGAACTATGGGATCAAGGACTGTTTGACTCATTGTCACGCCAATCAGCTCGCAGAACTTGTTGACCGCCTCTGGAGGGAAGCCACGACGACGAAGGGCGGTGAGAGTGAAGAGACGGGGATCATCCCAGTCGGCCACAATGCCTGCGCTTACTAATTTGAGGATCTTTCGCTTCGAGACGACAGTGTAGAGCAGATTCAGGCGACCGTACTCCCACTGGACAGGACAGTAGATGTCCAGAGCATTGCAGAGCCAGTAGTAGGAAGAGCGTCTGGGTGTCGAGAATATAGGTAAGTGTACGTAGTGCGGGGCGGGGGTGAAGCATAACATTTAGCGTCGAATAATGGACGAGTTGAGGGCAGTTGAGAGTAGCCAATTACTGCATAGTCCCAATCGTAGTCTCACAGTACACCAGAACTTTACCTGTTGGAGAGGTTGGGCTCCCCAAATGTCACTTCAAATGCAGAGGGAGAATTCACGAAATGTTCCGTTGAACATGTCAGAAAAATACATCACTTCAGTCAGACTGGCCTGGAAGGCCTAGGATCGCTTTAAATGTGGGGACGCCTAACGAAAAACTGCATATTTTTTCCCGGTTCATAATAAACACTTTTGTGAAAGTGAGGATCGTGAAATAAAACTTCCGTCGCGTGAATCACGCCGCATTTCCGAAAGGGCACATTGCCCAGGAGATTGTCATGAGACGGTATCCCAGTTCAGTAACTGTGTTTACTGAAAGTATAAACGAGTTCCGGATTATCCTTGTCCAAAAGCCAGACTAACTAAAGGCACAAGATTCACAGTCTTGCGCGCTTCAGCTTCAAAAGCAGCAAAAAACGCCGACCTATGAAGCACGAAAACGTGTACTATTCCTGGCCCAGAAGACGGGCGGGGGAGGTGTGTGCTGATACAAACAGCGATAAACACTGCGCATTTTGTGGGTCGTTTTCTGTCACCGTGCATCACCGTGGCAGTCTCAGGTGCAAAAGAGTACGGTTAAAAAAAAGCAGCGCATACATCTACTTATATCAGATAAGGCTGGGAAACGCAGAGGAATTTTATAGGTTGATGCTGCACATACTCTGAACGTAGTATCTAAGATCGGCTCACAGCAGGGATTATTCTGTAGACACAAGCGAATAGGAGTGTCCTAACCTACGGCCCTTATCGTAAACTTCAAAGGAAACGACGTAGACGGTGAGAAGTTAAAACTGACTGCCTTTTACAAATCTGGTCTAGCCTACCCGACTGTCCTCTGTGCGAGGCCGATTGATATATGACATTCAGTTGACGTTAGCAGTATTCTGCAAGTACTTGGATTAAGTCATACTGTATTCCTTTCTCCTATATTACAATGACGTCAATCTCTTTGGCATCTATTACGCCAACTACCTCACTTATTCACTAATTGTCTCTAAGTTGCAAAACATTATAAACGCTGACCCGCACTACTAGGAGGGCGTACGAGGATTATCAGGGTGAAGGCGACCGTGATTATATTAGCGATGGTGATAGTGGTAGCAGCCGATGTTATTAGTGTTTATGTCTTTGGCGTAGGCTTCGGGCGGGTTGCACCGATCTCTTAGTTATCGTCGGACGTGCACGTGACACGAGTTGGGCGGAGGTTCTGCGCCATGCCAGCTACCGAGAGGTTCCAGAACGGCCGCTATCGTTTGTTACCTGCTCTTTGTCGATGCACCTTGAGATCTGACAGGCGGTGCATTGTCCACGATCCCTACCACAAGCCGACGGGGTCAGTTCGGTCTGAGACGTCAATTGTCCACTTAAGCACGAACCACTACGTTCATTAATTATTGTCACGACACCATTAGATGGTGGATTTTGCTTAAAGCTTTGAAAAGTAGCCCGGAAGAGTCTTAATGCCAGCGAGGACGTAGTGCCAGTGGAAGACGGTAAAATTTATGACAACATTTTATGATATCATCGACAAAGGCAGCCTATGCTGACTTGAAAGTATGTCATAAACAAAGTCGAACTTTCCGATCCTGTAATAAGCATCCGTAGAGATTTATCACCGGCGTTTGCATTACTATGAAATGAGCCTTGAAATCTCCAACAATGTTTTTACCGCAGTATTCCGGAAATCCACCGACACGAGACAGATCCTACACTTCAACAGCAACCATCCTCTGTCTCACAAACGTAGCTGTGTCCGCACTCTATTCCAAAGAGTCGAAACACATTGCAGCACGCCAGAAGATAAAAGAGACGAACGAATGTATCTTCAGAACCTATTTGCAGCCCATGGATACACCAGACATTTTATCGAGAGAAGCAGACGTCGGGCGCACAGACAACGGCCAAATGAGCAGCAACCTGAAGTCTGGAGGGCCATTCCCTACGTTAAAGGGGTCTCTGAGGCGGTCTCTCGATTGCTACAACCTGCCAGAGTAGGCATAGCCCACCGACCACAGGTAACAATTCGACGCCGTCTGATGCAACCCAAGAACCCATTGCCACCCGCTGAAACCTCTGCAGTTATCTACAAAATAAATTGCAAAGAGGGCGACTTTAACTATGTGGGAGAAACCGGGCGGAAATTGCAGACTCGCCTACAAGAGCACAAATCGGCTATACGGTTAGACCCAAACTCTCAATTAGCAACACATGCCGGAGAAACTGGGCATACTTTCGATCTCCAGCGAGATACCATCTTAGGTCGGGGCAACACAAAAGCCGAACGGCTAACTCTCGAGGCGTAGTTCTCCGATGCCCACTCCATCAACAGGCATCTGGACCTTCCTGCGCTTACAAAGTCATACGTCATCGCAATCGTAGAGCTCAGGACCAAACAACCACACCGGACTTAAGAAGGCCATACGGAGACAGCCCGACGGCGAGTTTACTCGGTGAAGAAGAAAAAGAACCGCCAGACCGACCACCCGATACTGGTTCAGTCACCTCCCCCCGGCGGAGTGGTAACTCACAACGTACGCAGACAAAACGCCCGTCAACCATCCCCCGATAGGCCGCGGCAGCAAGAGGAGAGAAAAAAAATGGATCACCACGAGGCCGACTAGCGTGACACGCCACTTAGGACTCCTGGTGGATTAACTGCACTTTACGCTTTGACAATGGAGAGCCGAGCAAGCTCTTCGAAACGTCAGCATCCTAATAAACCTGTTCCGGTGAGCCAACCTTCTTCTTCTTCTTCTTCTTCAAATAATCGACCCGGATCTCTCAACTTTGCCAATCTGAACACGCGATTATGTCCATCAATAAGGCTCTGTTCATAAAATAATTACTAAGATGAAAACTGTGTGGCAGCGCAACTAGATTGAAGAGGAACACGTGGAATTAGAATTTGCGACGGGCAGACCTACTTGTTGGTGGAATGTCTAACAAACTAGTGAAAACGAATCAACCAAGTTTGTTCGACACACTGATGTCCTTACTGTTGTGCTTCCCATAGCGACTGTTGTTGAAGACTACCTCTTCCTCGCTCGTCTAATGAACCTTCAAATGTCTGCTTCTATAGACAGCTCGCATCTAAATACTCGTCATTCAATTAGCTTTACCGTTAACATCATCGGTGTTGCAAGGGAAGGAGATAAGTCATTACAATCGTTTCCGTATGAAGCCACATCTGATGATTTCGGATAAACTGTAGTGAAGTTAGGGATCGGAAAGTGGAGTGTTATGGCTATTGACGATACTTGTCAACGACAAACGTGACTGTACTTTTGCAAACTGGCCGTACTTAAAGCAAAAATGGCGGGTCAGCGAATGTAAATATGGCGGACGGCAAAGCGATGGAAGTGACCGTCATGAACAGCACGAGCATGCAGCTTCTACGCAGAATGCTTCATAAATTTGATCCCATGATGGGACCGTAGACATCACTAAGGTAGGCGATTCGGTGTGGCCTGTTCGCCATTGCGCAGATTACTGTAGTCCAACAGCAAGCAGACGTACAGATTATGACAGCTTGGTCGGTGGCAGCGAGATCGGCTCGGGATACAGAGCCCGTTATGTGATGGACATAGAGATGGCCAGTGAGGGCAACAGTGGCCCGAAACGTTCCCTCGCATTTCAAGCATGTGCTAAACCGGGGTCAACATTGTTGATCGTGTTGCGATGGTCACAAAAGTGACCCATAAAACCGATATGGGTCATCAGTGAAGGCGGATGGATTGTTCATCGAAAATATCGCTCCTCGGTGTTCCAGTCTAACATTCTTGATTGACGTGTTGGCCCTTTGTACGCGAACAGTCTCAAAAACTTCTGCACAACGCTTGTACATTCTAAGCGATAGTCCTCCAATACATTTCAGTGATACCAATGGTAAGGTTTTTAGTTGTAATGGTGCGGATTTTGTATTTATATCAGTACTGCGCCCACGTGAGACCACATTGCGTGCAAGAATAATCCAAATTCCTAAACATTATATACAGATATAAATGGTGCACTAGGAGGGGAGGGGATCAGTTCGCAGATCGCTTAATTGGCCAACAGCTTGACCATTAATTACACACGCACTGAAATAGATCTCTTTTCCAGCATACTCTTCTCTCGATGGGGATTATGTTAGGGGAACGCGAAAGCGTATGGTAAAGTGGAGGGAAAGATCATCAGGATGGTTCGTCTAATCGTAGGCCAAAGTCAGCGTCAACGCTCCAATTTTGCAAAGCCACGAATAACAACATCAGTTTACCTTTGACTGCGCGCAGGATTCGTCAAAATAGAATCCTCGCTAAAAATCGACGGAACCTGGAAATATACCCCTAACCATATGAATGGTCATGCTATATATCCATGAGCTCAGTTACGTAATTATTAGCGCCTAACCTGGTTAAGGAGCGCAGTAGGAATAAGTAAGAAACTCATCTGGCTCCGTCTCTTAGCCTGAGGACATGAGACAGAACAATGCCAGGTTCAATGCGCTACCTCGATTTGTAAGCTTTAGAATTCTAGAAAGTGTGGCCACTGTGGACATTAAGACTAATTGTATGTTAAAGTACCGCGTGCCTATCTGAACGCAGAACGTAAATCAGATATGGTAAAACATGTTTGGCGTGCGAATGAGCAAAAGACCTGGCCATCACCTGAATCTCAGTTGACCGAGACATGGCATGTCCTGTCAAACTCAAACGTTTACCGACAAGCCTAATTGATGCTTAACACGATACCCACCAAACTGACCAACATTAATAGGAATTTACGTGCTGTTGCAACCTTTGTGGAGTTTTATATCAGAATATAGTGCAGAATTTTAAGTAGAAATTATCACGCAATTACCTGGATTGGAACTCCTTAGTACAAAGGGAGTGAGTGATGTTCTCGATAGAATCACAAAGGCAGTGGGTATAGTCGTAAGTAGGGTAAATGCACCTAAACGTAGGAAAAAATGAAACAGTTGTGTTAAAAACAGGGGTACCATTCGCTGCCCGTTCGGTGATGAGGTTGCATCTTTATGCGGTATGCGACGGGATCCTGTTTGCCGTCTTCAAGAGTCGTTTTCATGCGCAGAGTCGCTGCGCCTTCTTCAATCTAGATTTGTAATATTTTTTGAGGAAACGGAAGCATAGGAATCACCTAAATCAAAACATTTGCTGTCTGCCCCTGCTTACTTCCTAAGAAAACAAGAACTAGGGCTAAAGGGGCGCATAAAGATCAATCAGACACATTAAGCATCACAGTCAGCTTGAAAAACGGAAGATGAGACAATTCTCTTCCTCCCTGTTCAGTTGCAAAACCTACTTTGTCAGAAAATCTGCAAGAAAAAAAAATCTGCAAAGTTTGTAAAATCTGCAAGTTTGTAACACCGGCAAGGTTCAACATCAGCCCTTTGAGGTGGCGAGAGTTAACTTTGAAGTTGGATAACGAGTAGTTGCGAGAGACGTCAAATATGCCGATGTTTTCCGAGTTTTTGTTTCCCCGGAGACAAATTTTCAGACCTGACCACTCAAGATGAGTTCACGAAAAATGTGCTTAACCACTAAGCTCACATTGAATATTTCTGGTGAAGTGTTCTGCAATGTGGTTAACATCAGCGTATCCGCGTGTTAGTTAGCATAGAACTGCAATATTGAAACTTGCTATTCTTACGATCAAACTAACTACCTCTAGGCTGTATTAAATAAGATATCAAGTTTTTTTGCTAAAACGCCGCATATCGGGCAGAGAGTGAAACTGAGAAACAGAGAAAGTGCGTTAGGCACTACAATCTTGGCAAGAAGCAGCATCCAGCAAAGGAGTCTTGCATTTCACGAGCCTTTAATACGAGATAGCGCTTATGTGTGCAAACTAGTATGGGCCCGTTGACTGTGTTAAGTGAAAATGGCAAGTCTAAAGGAAATCATACCAGACGGAGATACTAATACGACCACTTACTGGAAATTTCCGACACATGCAGTCAAGCATCAACACAAATGCTGGATGGCCTGCGCCCGCTATTTTGCACAGAAGGAGGACTCCATAACTGTTGTCCAGTACTACGATGATGAACACGACAACTACTGATGCGCGAATCTTTGCACAAGCCACTTGCACATGGCCTTCGTTTCGGGGACCTCAAGTATTTATTCTCATTTTACAAAATTAAATTAGGAGCAGGTAGAGCGCAGGCATGGCAATAAGCAACGATTTCAACGACCAGGGAAAATGTCCAAAAGGATGTATGGGCAAGCTTTTTCAAAAGCGCGTAACTAAAAAGCTAGTGGGAAAGGAAACAGCTTCTCTTGGCAGGGTTATCTTTGTGGAAGTACCTTGCCATTCTTCATATCAATAAAAAGTTGCCTTGATTCTTCGATGGGACGATTCCTCCAGGGCGAAGGAGGGGGGTTGAAACCTTTAAGTTCCTCTGGGCGCTGATGACAAACATAAGCCAGGTCGAGGTCGATCAACTTTAATGCCCATTCATATAGTTGACCGAAATTATCGGATGCGTGGGTAATTTTGTACGGTTTGAACCCTAGGTAATAGAAGTTTTTCCTTAATTAACATACCGAGCCATTCAACCATATCCAGAATCGCGTCAAAAAAACGCTCTTCTTCATTTTCAGGGTTCGTGTCGTCGTAGCGGAGGTAGCATACACCACCCATTTTCTAGAAGAATAACCGAGCTCTAGAATTCCTACTCTAGCGTAGCCAAAATTAAAGTTGATCGCTTTCGCATGTCCAATGTGTAGAATTCCATTAGGTTCTGGAGGAAAGCGCGTAATGACCTTGCCACCAGTGGCAGCCAGATGCTGCTTTAGTAAGGCTTCTGTCCGACCTGTTACTACATAGCCCGCTGTCTTGTAATTTTCTCCGGGTTTGTGGAATTTTGCAGCATCGCCATAAATGGCAGAGTCGGCAGCCTGAGACATTATTCCTGAAAAACCACGCGGATGTATCGCCAACGAGCTATGGTTTCGCCTTCTCGCCCGAATTTCAGCCTCGTAAAATAAAATTCAGTGTCGTCCTCACTCCTACTGCACTTCTTTGCGTGTTTCATGATCCCTAGTTGCGTGCGTTATGTTTTTGCTTTTCTCCATCTAAGATAAATTTTTCTAATGCTCTCCATTATTTAGTGGGTTGCGTACTTGATATCTGCAGCGGCCATTCCGCGCCAGCTTTACACGTTCATCGACATTATGTGATATTCGTGTGCAAGTAGACGCATTGCAGCAGGGCTCGAATGCGATCATTCTATCTTGCTGGCGAGCGCCTCCATTACTTGAGCACGAGGCATTATCCCATTTTTAGGCCTCCAGGCGGAAGATTAGATTCGGTAGCGACGAAGATAGATTGTGGGTGAATCTAAATAGGTTCGCGGAGCAGTAAAACCATTGACTCATGCGGTTACACGTGGGCTAATGTTCCATACTTTGCCTAGATAACCCAGTTAAATTAATCTGCACAAGAAACTTCTTTCTCGACGCTGCAGCCCCTACCAGCACATGGCAATAATGGGGCTGGGCGGGATATAGCCCCCTCACTATTTACGGATGGTTCATCAATATTGTGCAGAAAATATACCGCGGACATGAGTGCACTTTTCTGGTTGAAAATTCCTTCTTAGGCAGAATTCTCTCCGTCTAAATGTCGTTCTATGTGTTTTGGACCTGAGAGGCTACCCCAACCAGTGGTCTTTCAAGGCACACCTATGACTGAATGTAACAACATCAAGGATTTAGGTTTAAGCTACACTAGTAATCTTGATCCCTCGCCACACGCTGACAGAATTACAGCCAAAGCTGCCCAGTTTTGTGGCTTTATTTCTTACAATTTCTATCTTCCTGAAATTAAATTAAGGCTCTATCGTATGTTGGTACCTCCCATTCTCGAGTATTGTTGTCCATTCTTCAGTATGATGAATGAAGCTAGTCGTTTAAAAATTTAAAATGTCCAAAGACGAACTTTCAGTACCGAGTATGGAATGGGAAGATCGTTGCACTTGTTGATCGACTGGGGGCCAGTAAACCATGATTCCAGTAGCTCCCGGCTCACTCGGTTGTCACCTCTTGCGAGAATTTCGGCCTCATCGAATTTAAATGTGTGGCCGGATCTCGTCGAATGAGCTGCATCTTGAGAACTAACGTCATTTCTGCGCACCGCTGCCGCGTGTTCGGCCATTCTCGTTCGGAGCTGTCTTCCGGTTTCTCCGACGTAGTTGCTTTGTCCGCAACTGCACCAGATCCGATAAACGACTCCAGACGTTTCTAGCCGTTGCAGTGGGTCTTTCGGTTTCATGATCAGACGCCTGATGGTTGCCTCCGGACGCCCGATCCAGACGCCTGATTATGACACCGAAAGACCCACTGCCACGGCTAGAAACGTCTGGAGTCGTTTATCGGATCTGGTGCAGTTGCGGACAAAGCAACTACGTCGGAGAAACCGGAAGACAGCTCCGAACGAGAATGGCCGAACACGCGGCAGCGGTGCGCAGAAATGACGTTAGCTCTCAAGATGCAGCTCATTCGACGAGATCCGGCCACACATTTAAATTCGATGAGGCCGAAATTCTCGCAAGAGGTGACAAACGAGTGAGCCGGGAGTTACTGGAATCATGGTTTACTGGCCCCCAGTCGATCAACAAGTGCAACGATCTTCCCATTCCATACTCCGTACTGAAACTTCGCCTAGGCGGGGTAACAAGCCATGCAGGAAGCGCAGAGGTGAACACTATTCCCAACACCGGGGTCGATGCGTCAGATGGTCGAGCAATCATCACGCCAACATCCAACGCACGTGATAAAATTGCAGCAATTGTCGACTCGAATGTCGGTCATCAAGTGCGACAATCCCGGATGAAGGGGGGAGTCGTGAAAGTTCATATGTATGAGGTAGCATGGCTACTGCATCCTATGAATACCGCAGCCCCTTGTGCAACAATCACCCGTTTCTGCTCTTTTGTCTCTGATGATGAATTCGAGTAGGAATCCGAAACGTCAGGCTAATAAAGCTCTTGTCCCGGCGATCGTGTCTCCTTCTTCAAGACTACTTCCTGGGACACGGCTCTTCGCTTCTATTGACTAGAAGCAGGCTTCTGTCTCCTCTTTCGCATTAATCATAGTTCAAATTTTCCTCGGATTTCAGCACTCACCCCTAGTAGTCGTCCATACAATCTTCACAACTCGTCCTTGATTATACCTCCTCCAGCGTCCTCCACCTCTAAGCGCTCCGTTTTTTTCGCTTCCAGATATACTTTCCTCTGGAATAAACTTCCAATAAATATAAATAAATAAATAAATTTTAATTTAATGCCAGTTTACAGGCATTGTCAAGGGAAGCGATTAAACACAAATCCGACCAGCAGTGAAAAAAAAACTCCTGAGCTTAAGGCATAAAAATATAGTTGATGGTGGTTT